AGAGCCTCAGTTTCCTCTCTGCCACAGGGCAAGGATGTAGGGAGCAGACACATGCAGGGGTCAGTAAGAGCTCAGTTATTCCCTCCTCTGTGTGGGCCTGGGCCACCTGCTAGGGACCTGGGGACTGCACCGAGACCCTGCAAGGCAGTAGGTAGCTGGGAGGTGGCCCAGAGGCTGCTGGAGCCCAGTGGCAGCCTGGGGGTTGTGGAAGTGGGGTAAGAACAGGGATGCTGTTCTGAGGGCCAGAGCACTTGGAATAATGTTTTGAGCCACCACTGGAAGGAACTAGAAACTAGAGGAGGAAGGGAGTCCTGGCGATCCAAATAAAGTGCAGAACGAAGGAGGGATGTGAGTTCGGGGTGCTCGGAGAGCAGTAAATAGTTCTGTGAGCTGGAGAGACCTCAGGCCCAGTGATAACCTCACACATTGAGGAGGTCATCCCCGCAGTAGGTCACCCAGTGTAGGACGCGATGCATGCCCCTGCTCACCTCTGCCCTCTGCCCCCACCTCCCACAGCTCCCACGTGAGCGCCGATTCCTGCAGCCTCTAAATGGGGCTTTGCTTTCTGATGGTAGCAGCAGCAGGCAACTGGGTGATGCCTTTAAAGAAAATAAGGCTATTTGGAAAACCCCACTGTGGTGTACTGTTAACAGGGAGCCCCACCCCAAGTGCTTTCTGTTTCCTTTATACCTAGAGCCTTAGGCCTCCTGCACTGGATACCTCTTAACAATCAGTGAGCCATAGGCCACAGGCGTCCCCTGCCCCCAACAGCCATGGGTTGGAATCTGTTGGTTTCATTGTAACTTATTTCTTCCTGTCAATTACTTGGGATGCTCTGGGAATGAGTGACCCTTGATTTTGGGCCGGACCCACCTGGATTCAAGTGTTCCCAGTAAACGGGGCAACGATACAGCATCATGGGGGCCCTGGGGCAGGCAGAGATGCTGTTTCAGAGGTGGGCCACATGCACACAGGCCCGGGCTCTGTAGCCAGCACTCCCATAACAGCAAGTGTTTGGCCCTGCATTGATTACCTAGCCTCTTGGAGCTTGAGATTTCCCGTTCACAAAAGCCTTATCTCAGGGCTTTGAGAAGGGCTAGGGGCTCAGAACCCTCATCCGAGGACCCCAAGTTACTGTCCTTTTTTTTTTTTCCTCAACCGAGGACATTTTTCCATTTTTTGTTCAGATAGAGTGGGAGGGAGAGAGAGGAAGAGAGAGAGAGAGAAACATCGACGTGAAAGGGACACATCGAGTGGCTGCCACCCGCACGACCAACCAGGGCCGGGGACAAACTGCAACCGTTACTGTCCTTTTTGAAGTCTGTGACTTACACATCAGCGAGCATCATAGCACATCTTCATTGTAAATAAAGTGTACATTCGTTCTGGGGAAATAAGTCTTAAAATACATAGTGGCAGAAGATAACTGTGTTCTGATACTCGCTTCGGTGTTTTCTTCCTGTCTTTATGGCTGTGGACGATGTGGATTCCATATTCTCTTCTTTTTGGCGTAGGCAGTAAGTTTATTATTAGTCTTTATCTGAAAAAATCTTCATAGAAAATCGTGGTGTGGTTTATTAGCTCTCAGCAGCCCATTCCTGAGATCTGGGGAGGCCTGCCTTCTTCCGAGCTACCCGGTCTTTCTTCTGGCCCAGAGGTATTTAGGGAACGGCTCCACTTTTTACCTTCTTTCTTAGGCTTGTCCCGTGGATTGGATGCTCCCCGAGAGCTTTCTCACACAGCCCCTTCGCCGTGCTTGGTTTCGCTGTTCTTGGCGTACTGAGAGACTGCTTCTTGTAAGCACCCCCTCTTCTTCCATTACATAGCACATAATCTGCGTTGTTCTGACCGTGATGTGCTTCCGACAACTTTCGCATTGAATTCCTTGCCTTCTGAATCATAACCAGGGAATTGCTCGGCACGGTGAGGGACAGACAAGCCTCTGTCCACTACTCCCTTCAGGGCCCATCAGTGCTTTTCACGTTCACCTCCAGCCACCTCACTTGGCCTTCATAGATCTCGTCCTTGCCAAACCTCTCGAGCAGCCTGTGGGCCCACTGCAGGCCTGTCCAGGGTGCTGCAGCCTCACCTGCCGGGCGACCTGCACACCATACTTTGGGAGTTCATGAGCATAAGCTGCACGAACTACCCTATCTCCTTCTGTACGGGCATAAGCCAAGGGACAAATGATGTCTCCGTTGCTTATGAGAACTATCATCCTGCATTTGGCTGTGCTGTACTTATGCTTAGCCTGGATTACCAAGCGTTTCCAGGCACAGTAATCAGTTCTACGCTATCGTCTTCTAAATTTCACTCGGTATCTCTTGACGTAGGCCTTGTTCTTGACAAGTCTAACCACCCCCACCTGCAGAGGAGACCCTTGTCAGCAGCTCCCCACAGACCTGCTGGCCCAGCACAGCCAGGGGAGGTGGGATTCCATGTTCTCTGACTTTCTACTTTACTTAAAATTCAGTATCACTCTTATAACTTAAGCATCTCCTCTGTTCTATATAATAAATCCTTTAAAGGTTTTGTAAATGGCTCCATTCAGCTCACCTTCTCTCATGGTTGGACTTCCACATTATGTCATTTCACTGTTGTGAAGAACTCTGTGGGGACATCAGTCCGCCGGGATTTGGGGTGATTTTGTGAGTGTTTGGATTACAGGAATTCTAAGTGCTGTCGTTCTTTCTTCTGCTCCCTCCTTTGCTGGGGCCATGCCTCCTCCCTGTCGTGAATGTGCTACTGCTATGAGTTCTGCCTCCCCAAGTGACCGATTTTAACCTAGAGCAGTCAGGGGACAGGTAACTACTTGCTGACTGGGCGGAGTACAAGTTGGTGGCTCCGGTGCAAGGGTCTGAGTGCTGCTGCTTGCAACCAAGTGCAGAGGCTCCTTCAGGATGGCTGCTTTGGTTGTTGGGAAGCTTTTCTGTCGGGGTCTCTGACTTTCTTCCATGCTGACCACCCTGATAGTTGTCTCCATATAAGAGAGGGCAGGACAGAACTGAGGTTCTGAGCAATGAGTGTGAGTGTGCACAGCCACACAGCTGATCTCATTCCTGTGTTTTAAATTTTGTTAGACTTGCCCTGGCTGGTTTTGCTCAGTGGTTAGAGCGTTGGTCCACGGACCAAAGGGTCTTGGGTTTGATTTCCGGTCCAGGGCATGTACCTGGGTTGCAGTTTTGATCCCTGGACCCAGTCAGGGTTATGTGGGAGGCAATCAATCGATACGTCTCTCTCACATCGATGTTTCTCTCTCCCTCTCCCTTCCACTCTATCTAAAAAAATCAGTGGACAAATATCCTCAGGTGAGGATTAACAACAACAGAAAATTTGTTACACTCAAGTTGTGATGAGGACTTATCTAGAACACTTCTGAGTGCTGATAACAAATGGGAATACGTGGGTCAAACCACATTGAGGTTGTAAGTGACTGGTGGGCTCCAGGAGGGACTCTGGGCCCAGGGAAGGGTGTGTGGGAGAGGTGGAGGGGGGCAGCAAGACAGGAAGAGGGTGAGGGAAAGGCAGACAGAAGGCACCAAGTCTGTGGACCACAAAGTCTTTTGGTTCTGGATTCAGGACAATGGTCCCTTGTCACTGTGGGGTTTTAAAACCCTAAGACCCAGAATGAGGGCTGGAAGGGATTTGTGGAGTCACAAGGAACACTGTAAAAGCAGATTTATTAATCTGATGTATTGCATTGCTAATGAACTCAGGCCCAAAGCAAGCTGTACTTTCCTCTTCTGTTTTCTTAAAATAAGCTGGAGAGCTCATGCTGGAGTTTGAAGACCTGGTATTATTTTCCCTTAAAACCACTTAGAAATGTAAGCATTTATATAAAGCTTCTATTATATACCAAGCCCCGTGAGGGTGTTAATGTATTCTATGAAGAGCTTGCCTTTTTAAAGTTCTCATCTTCTCCTGCCATCATAACTAATAGGTGCTAAGCGTTTGTAGAGCCGAGACAGGAAAAACAAGTCAGGGGCTCTTTGGCTCGACCCGCATGACCATGGTCTGGACAGAGTAATCTTCCACTGCAGGCTTCCAGATGCTCTCTGTGATGGGGAGATTCCTCTTCCTGTCCCTGACCGCTCTGCTCCGGGGTCCTCCCTTCCACTCAGCGGAAGCGCTGGCCACTGAGCGCTGGTCCATCTCTGAGGTTTCCTCTGTGGTAATTCTGCCTGCGACAGCGCTCAGGGCTCCTGGCTGGTGGGTTCAAAGCCCGGTGTAGAACCCAGGCTTTCCGGCTCCCAGCCACTGGGGTCTTTCCTCTAGCCTTGATGTCCCCAGAATATAGTAATTTAACAAATATTTGAGTGCCTACTATCTGCCAGGCGCAGGGAACGTAACAGTAAAGAAGACAGACAGGTCTGCCTCTGGAAGCCCACAGTCTAGGTCCTCCTGGGGTCCAACGAGAGCGTTCTCATTCGGAGCCCTGCATGGTTTTGGAAGGTGGTCTGGGCGGGGCATCCGGCTTCTGACCCCGCCAGCTGCTGCCCGGTCCTGGGCCCTGGGCCAAGCGCTTCTGTCCCACTCTGCGCAGGGCTCTGAGCACAGGCCCTGTCCGTGCGTTTGGACGCGAAATGATGCGCGCGGACTCCAGGTCAGCGGTTCCCAAACTTGTCCGCACATGACACAACTTCCAAAACGATCTCACTTCCAGATGAACTGGCCTGGGATGTGGCACTTTCAAAGGTTCCCAGCTAAGCACTGGGCAAGAGCGCAATAAAGGACAATGGCCAGAAAAGCCCGTTTTACAGACTGAGACCGAAGCCAGGCAGGGAGGACCCCAAAGCGACGTTCCTGAGGCCGTCCGTCCAGGGCCCACGGTCGCGGCTCGCCCACGTCGGTTTCCAGCCTCCGGCCAGGTGGGGGCCGGGCCCCCCTCCCAGGCGCACCTGCCCTGAGGCTGGGGCGCCCATCGATGCGCTCCGACGCTCGGCTCCCCACGCCTGGCCCCTGCCCGCTCGAGCCCCTTCCCCCTCCCGGCCGCTTCCCACTTCCAAGATGGCCGCGGGTGGAGCCGACCAGGTAAGGAGGCCCCAGGCGGGTGTCCACGGGGGCTCCGCGGACACGAAGATCCCCTCAGGCACCCTTCGCGGCTCCACCTGTCCTTCGGGAGAGAAAAGGGCCGGCGACGCCGCTCCGGGGCCCACGGGGGACGGACGAGAGGGCCCGAGGAAGGGCTGCGGGGCGAGCGTCGTGCTCTGGGAGCTGCAGCGGCGACGACGCGGCGGGAGGCGGCAGCTCCAGCGGAAGAGCGGCCGCGGTCGGCCTGGGGCGGGGCGGGGCGCGGGCGCGCGGGGCGGGGCGAGGGCGCGCGGGGCGGGGCGAGGGCGCGCGGGGCGGGGCGAGGCGCGCGGGGCGGGGCGAGGGCGCGCGGGGCGGGGCGAGGGCGCGCGGGGCGGGGCGAGGGCGCGCGGGGCGGGGCGAGGGCGCGCGGGGCGGGGCGAGGGCGCGCTCCGCTGTTGGCCGCGGGCGGTTCGCGCGCACCTGCTCGCGGGATCTGGGGCTCCCGCACTGCCAGCGTTCTTGCCGCGCCAGTTCGGGTTCTGCGGGACCGGGGGTGCCGGCTTGCGGGCCCCGGGATGGCGTCGGAGCCGAGCTAACTCGGGTACTGAGAGCCTGCGGCGGGGGCGGGGGCGGGGCCGGGAGGGAGGGAGGGGACGCGGCGCGCGTGGCCGCTGCCACCTGCTGCAGCGCCGACCGCGGGGAGGGCGTCGCGGGTCCGGGTCCTGCCCGGGCGCCCCTCGCTGCGCGGCCGCCCGTTCCTCCTGCGCAGGCGAGCGCGTGGGGCCCGGGACATTGCGGGGCCCCGGCGGCACTCGGCGCTCGGCCGCCCGCGCCGAGCCGCGCTCCCTGACGTGCTTCTTTCCGGAACTTGACGGAAAGTTTTCTCCGCAGATGCGCGGGGCGCCGGGGCCCGGGCTGCAGCCGGCTCGGCGCGCGGACCGCCCCTCCCGGCCGCCGGGACCCTTCCTCCTCGGGGGCCCCGGCTCCCGGGACCCCCACTCCCCACCACGGAGTCCGTGATCTCTTTATTCTTGGAACCCCGTCCTTAGGCCCCGACCCCTCCTCCTGGACCCCTGTCCCTCGGCCAGGGGCTCCCTGCGCCTCGGGGAACCGGGCCGAGAGGCCCCCGTGGGCAGGGAGCTGCCTGGAGGAAGGAGGCGGCCGCGGGGGCCGTGCGGGCGGGGAAGGCCCGCAGGAAGGGGCGCTGGTCCCGCACACTCCAGCCCCGAGGCCCCGCACTGGGCATCTTAGTGACAGGACCCTTGCCTGGCCACTGAAGCCACTTCTGCCTTAAAACTGCCCCGTTTTCTCCAACGCGGACGGGCGGCCTTGCTTCGGAAGTTTCCCCGCGCGGGGGGCTGGGGGCCAGCGCCCGCGGCCCGGCAGCACCCAGCCCTCGTGGGCTGCGCGGTCGGGGGGCTGCTTCCCGTGCCCGGGGCCCTCCTTGGAACGCTTCCTCTTGCCCTGCCCCTCGGCCCAGCACCCACCCAGGTCTCAAGTTTGGGCGTGACTTGGAGCCCCCTCTGACCCCTGCCCCGCACCCGCTCCCCGGGCTGTCCCCGGTGTCCTGTGTGTTTGACCCCGCGAGTCTGTGGGCCCCACCTGATCCCCAGCCCTGACAGAACCTGGCATGTACTCGGGCTCGGGGTCATTGCGTGCGTGCACCCTTTGGGGAACCCCGGGTAAAGTGACCAACTCGGTCGGAGTCGCCCAGCTGGAGAGAGGCGGAGGTGGGATTCAAACTGCTGACCTCCGTGTCCTCCTTGGTCCCAGCAGGTCGTGGCAGGGCCCTGCCCAGCACTTCGCTGTGCACTGAGCCGGGCTGGCCTCAGGTTTGTGAAAGTTTTCCGTGTGCCCGGCCTCACCTGGCTTTGCTGACTGCTTGCGGTTCTCTGCATTAGGCACCCTCCCTCCGCCTCTCCACCACCCCTTCTCCATCCCCCCATCCCGCTGCCCACTCCCCTCTGTCCAGAGGGTGAACATCTGCCCTTCATGCCCCCACTTCTCCCTGCCTGCGCTGTGCCGAAGGCCCCTCTAGCCCGGAGGACCCGGCTTATCTCCCGCTTCGTCAGGGCCTCCGACCACTTCCCAGACCACTTCCCAGCCTCGCGCAGGGGGTGCCTGCACAGCATGTTGTGCTCTGGCCCGCCTCTAAGACCTTGGAGATTTGTCTTCAAAGTACACCTTTATACACACGTAAGAGGATTTTAGGGGAATGGTTATGTTGTTACTGTTTATTTCAGGGTGGACATACACTGTCTGGGGCCTGGGTTGTTCAGAACCCTAGATTGTCAGGCTGCAAGGACCTCAGGTAGATCAACTGGGCTAGTCATTCTAATTCTACAGATGGGGAATTTGGGACCCAGAGCTGTCAGTGCCACAGAGCCAGTGTGAGGGAGATGTCTGTGACAGGAAGAAGCTGTGCAGACAGACTGGCTGTGTGTGAGCTTGCTTATGCAAATAAGTTGCTAAAATAGTGGGCCTGAGCTGGCCGGCCCTATCTGGTACCCAGGAAAGAATAACATAAGCCAGCTCTTCCAAGGCTTAACTCTTGCCTGGCACGGTTCTAAAGGCTTTATGTGGATTTCTTCCCCTAATCTTGTCAGCTGCCTAAGGAGATAGGGTCTCTTACTGGCCACATTTTACTACATAGAAATTGAGGCACAGGAAAATTAAGAAACTAATTTAAGGTCATTCAAAATGGAGGAGCTGGGATTTCAACCCAGACCATCTATCTTCAGACCCTGCATTTTTCCTCCTGCTTATTTTATTTTTGAAATTTTCTGTTGAAGCTAACATACACACAGAAAAAATGAACTGTTTAGCTTCTCAGTTATCACCAAATTTAGGGCCTGTGTTCCTAAACACACCAGCAAGCCATATATGAGGACTTTGATATCAGACCTGGTTTGAATCCAGTTTCTGTTTTGTATGCACTTCGGTGAGTTCCTCAGCCTCTCTTAATCTCAGTTTGTTCAGTGTAGTTGTCAGGCGTGTGATGCTTAGAGCATGGGATAGCACCTAGCATGTATGGCCATGACAAATGTTTGATAAATGATTCCTCTTATTAATAATTAAGATTATAAATTATGTTGACTTCGTTAAGTGGTCTGAATATCTTCCTAACCTGTCAGTTGCCTCTCGATCACATATGCTGATTAGTTTAGGTAGATTACCACATGTAGCCGAAACATTTTGGGATGTGGGGAATCCCCTATATATTGAAAGTCCTTGATTTAAAATGTCCCCACCTATATGCCTTTTAAACATAACCACTTTGGGCAGTATAACTTTAATGTCTGTTCCTTAGGGTTGCAGAGGAGCCTTTGGGACCCTCAACAGTTTAACCCCGTTTCTGCCTGCTTTGATGGACCGACACAACGCCCTGTTAAGTTCTGGGTTCTTAAAAGTTGCCATTAACCCTCTGGAGGAATATATTGAGCTTCTAAGAAATTCTTTTTTCTAGGATTTTTTTTTTAATCCTAAAGAATAACACATTTAAAAACAACAACTTTAGAGTTGACTTTTCCATTCTGCATAATGCAAATTAGTCCCTTGTTTTAGGCCACTGAGCAAACAGATTGAAGAGTAAGCACTTTAGAGTCAGCTTGGCCCCAGCATGACCACTTCCTTAACATATCCATTCTGTGCTTCTGTCTTCTTGTCTGCGAGGTGGTAATGACGGGGTCCTTGTGGAGGATACACAGATGGTGGGTGTGAACACTGATCGCGGTGCCCACGGTGTAATGCACACTTGGCAAGCAGAGGCTACTGCTCTTGTTAATTGTTAATGCTGAGGCACCTGAGACCTAGAACGTCTTGTGCCTTTCTTTCCAGGAACCTTTCTGCCTGAGCCAGGACGTGAATTTACAAGAGAAAGGTGGGTGGTGCTGGTGGAGCCCTCTGGGAAGCAGGCTGATCCCCACCGGAGAGTCCACACAGATAGCTGTGCGCTTGACTCTGAAGAGGAATGATAGGGAGTCAGTGGTGGAGCTGGGTTAATGGGAGGCTTGGCAGTGAAGGTGAGTGCATGCAACCTCCTTGGAGGATCAGGGAGAGCAGCGATGTCCCCGTGCTGATGGGGGCTCAAGGAGGTGGCTCTTCTTTGCAGTATCCAGAGAGGAGCCCAGACATGGAGGGCTGCATCGTGGATGGGAAGGAGCCAGAGGACGTCTGTGTGGATGGGCAGCATTGTTTCTCCCCAAAGCCACCAACGAGTGCATCTTCCCCCCTGGGGACATAACTAGGTCATTGGTTTTCTTTTATTTATGAAGTCTTAGTCAATACTTAGTCCTATTGCTTTTTAAGGAGGAGAAAATAAACGTGTTGCTTCAAGATGGAGTTGTTTTCCAAAGCCTTACTCTGAGAATCACTACTCAGAATCACTGGCAGAGCCACTGTCCACTTTCCGACTTGTGTGAAACCCGAGACGTAGCCCCAGCGGAGTGAAGGGTGTTTGAATCTCTCAGGGCACTTAATCTTATTTGCAATCTATAGAACTCTGTTTTGTGGCAGGTATATAAAGTTCTGATGGTCTTGCTGCCTAAAATAAATACAGTCTTCCTCTTACCTTCTTGACGTTTTGTATATTTTCTCTTGTCTGGGAGGTGATGGCTAGTCATTACATTTGTATAGGGCACTTTCCATGGCAGGTGCCGGCTGTGCCCAAAAGATTCTCAGAGCTCGAGGGTGTGCACTGTGGTGGCCACTGCTGCATAGCTTCTGTTCCCGCCATAGTGGTTTGGACTCTGGAGGGAGGAATTGTGTTTACCTTCCAACACCGTTGATTGCTGACTGTTCCTTGCCGGCTAATCTGGTAGCAGGCATGATGCACAGGGTGGTCATCAATTCCTTGTTTTGTCTGTCGCCTGCTCACATGCCCAGAGCTCGATGGGATGGACTTGCTTCCTCACCTTGTTACCTCCACTGCTTACCTTGTTTTTGGAACATAACTCAGCTCTCAGCAGATGTTTCTTGGATGGACTGTTTCTGAAACCTGCCCACTTAGAACATAGTTGTTAGTAATAATTAATTCAGCAAATAGAAATTTTTTGAATCCTCACCTGAGAGTATTTTTCCATTTATCTTCAGATAGGGTGGGGGAGGGGAGAAAGAGAGACATTGACGTGAGAGACACACATCGATTGGTTGCCTCCCGCATGACCCCAACCAGGGCTGGGGACTGAACTGCAATCGAGGTACGTACCCTTGACTGGAATCGAACCTGTGACTCTCTGGTCCACGGGCTGATGCTCTAACCACCAACCAAACCGGCCAGGGCCAGCAAATAGATTTTTGAATCCTTAATCCATGCCAGGCATTTGGCCAGGCAACAGTGCCCAGAAGTTGTTAGAGCTATGCCGGCCTGAAGCTTAGAAGCCAGTGCAGAGAGACATGGGAACAGCTGTAAATATTATAGTTGCTGTAGGTGGGGTGTAGCCAGAAGGAGCCTTGGAGGAAGGAGGCCCTGCAGCTTCCTGGGAGAGTTAGGAAGGCTTCCCAGAGGAGGTGGCCTTGGAAGTGTGCTGTGTGTCTGCTGGTGACACCTGCTCCCAGATTTGTGGGGCGTTGAAGACCAAGTTGGGAGAGTACCTCGGGCACGGCGCAGTGGTCCTGGGTGTTGAGAGGGCCGAGAGCGGCAGTGTGAGGCTGGCGAGGCGGGCAGGGGTGGATTGGGAGGGCCCTGTGCCAGCTCCGGGCATTGAGGCTGATTCTGTCCTTAGAAATCGTGTGATTTGGAGGCAGGCCATGGGCAGCTGGCCTCCTGGCGGCTTCCGGAGTTCGCCCTGCAGCCCGTCTCAGAAGCGGGCACTGTGTGCAGCCCCCTCAGGGCACTGTGGGCAGGCAGGTGCTCGGAGTGCGGCACTTGTGGCACCAGGTGCATGGCTTTGGGGACAGGTGGCCCTGGCCCTTGCAGGTTTTGGTTTAGAGTATGTTGCAAGAGGAAGTACTTTTTTCCCTTTAGGTTTATTTCCCCAAAGGCTGACACCCTGTTTCTGAGGTTTAAGGAACTTAAACTGGACTTGGAACCAGCAGAGGCCTCAAAGGTGGCTCGATACCTCCCTTAAAAGAGGCCCTCTGGCTGCTCCCAGGGCCATGGCCCCCGAGGTGCAGTGGAACACGGAGCAGAGGCCTGCCAGGCAGCTCTGGACTCTGCCAGAGCTTGTTTCACTCTCCCTGGGCTCCTGCTGCTGATTCAGGGAGAAGGGCCCTTGGGTTCACTTAACGCACTTGTGAACGTGTTCCTGCCATTCTGCCATTCTGCTGTCGGCATTTCAGTTCACTTTCACTTTTTTGTTTTGTTTTGTGGTACGTGCCCATAGCGGGAACTGAACCCTGGACTCTCTGGTCCGCAGGCTGACGCTCAACCGCTGAGCCAAACTGGCCAGGGCCACATTCACTTTTTTGCAGGTACTGGAGCTTTTGTTTTTTTTTGTTGTTGTTGTTAATCCTCACCCGAGGATATTTTTCCATTGATTTTTAAGAGAGAGTGGAAGGGAGGGAGGGAAAGAGAGAGAGAAACATCGATGTGAGAAACACATTGGTTGGTTGCCTACTCCCGGACTGGGGCCAGGGGTTGAACCCGCAGCTGAGGTATGTGCCCCTGACTGAGAATTGAGCCCTCGACTCTTTGGTTCCTGGGCCAACACTCTAACTGCTGAGCCAAACCAGCCACGGCAGTACTGGGGCTTTTTAATGTGGCTAAAGTAGAGGAAATTCACGTTTATTGGGCACCTGCTGTGTCGGATGCAGGGCATGGTATATGGGCACTTCACCGAACCTCATTTCATTTATCCTCTGGTCCACCTGGGATTTCTGTGGTATGGCCCAATTTTACTGCTGGGGAGGCGGGAAGTTGAGGCTCAGGTTGAGCATTCCCCACCCCCTCCCGCCCCAGGTCAGCCCAGCTGGTAAGTGGCAGAGCCAGAGTTCAGCCGCCCGTCAGAGCCTCCGCCCTCCTGAGGATTTCCTCTTGGGGTTAGGCTTTTCTGCCAGTTTGATTGTTGGAGTGTTGATGGTGTTTTGATAATTCTAATTACTTTTGACATTGCCAAAGATGAGCTCTTCACTATGTGCTAAAAGGCTCCTTACCATATTTTCCTTTTAATTAAAAAAAAAAAAAAAGGTAGAACTTTCAGGTTTGTGTATGTTTGACACTCCCTGTGTCTTCCTGTTGCGAGTCCCGTTCTTTCACAGCGTGGGCTCAGTTCAGGCATTTTCCAGAGCAGGGTCCCCGAGAGAGTTAGCTGTGGCCTTGCCTGGGCGTGGCTCAGGGCCAGGGATTCCGGGGGAGGTTTCAGCCCAGGAAATTCAGGGCATTGTGAACTGTGAAGCATTTTTAATGTGTTCACCAGTGGTGAGGTGTGCTCAGATCCTTTCGGAGGGTGAAGTGTGGTTTCGCTCTGTATGCTGAAGAACACTTTACTTTATGCGACACATCTTTATAATTTCATTTTTGTATTAAACTCTAATTTTGTCTGTATTTTTGTTTTGGTGTAGCACAGTGTGGTTCTACTTTCCAAGAGAAATTGGTGACCAGTTAGTATAATAACATCATGGGTAGAAATTTCTTCCTTCCTCATTGGGTCATAGTTCAGGTTTTCATATGTAGTTCAGTCTGTTTCTGAATTTTGCATTTTGATTTATTCCTTCATGTTTCTGCTTTTGCTCTAGTGCTGCACCAACTGGTTGCCATTTCTGGGGGGGAAGGAGATTAACCCCTCCTCCCTTTTCTGCTTTTAATGAATTTGCTTTTGCTGTGTTGACATTTGAGAGGAGGGCCAGGCTTCTTGAAGGGGAGCAGGAAGGCTCTTGGCAGAAGCTAAAATAACACCCAAGAGGGAATGGTTATCGTGTTACTGCTGTGCTTCAAAACCTTCTACTACTTGCTGTTTGATGATAGCAGCTATCAACATGGTGTCTTTTGGGGACCAGGGGACTGTTGAATGCTTTTCTCATGGTACTTTATTTAATTCTCCCAAGGCAGTATGGTGGAGCTGGGATAAGAACCCAGGAATGTCTGAGTCCAAAGATCAGATTTAAATGTACCACCAGGTCTCTTTAGTTTTGACATTTTAAAGGACAGTAGAAGGTGACATAACATATGCCAGGGTCCTCAGTCCACTGGGGCTGTGCTGTCCAGGCTGATGTACTTCCCACCTCCTCCTCCCCATCTTTTTTTTTTTTTTTTATCCTCACTCGAGGACATTTTTTCATTTTTTGTACAGATAGAGTGGGAGGGAGGGAGAGAGAGAGAAACATCGATGTGAAAGGGACACATCGAGTGGCTGCCACTTGCACGACCAACCAGGGCCGGGGATAAACTGCAACTGAGGTACATGCCTTTAGCGGGAACCGAACCCGGGTCTTTCCCGACCCGCAGGCCAACGCTCTAATCGCTGAGCCAAACTGGACAGGGCCCTCCTCCCCATCTTAAGCAAGCCCTGGTGTGTATGTGTCACTGACAGCTTTGACTCTTCTCACTCAAGTCTTAATGTAGGTTTGTAGTCTTTATTTATCCTGTATTGCTTATTCATCTTCACTGAGCCAGCCTTCTGACCTGGGTTTTTATTAACACAAAAATAAGCCATTCACCCATTAGGTATGGCCTGCTTGGGGGTTAGTCTCATAGATCCCAGCCCTGCTGCTAAGTAAACAGTGTGACCTTAGACTTGTTTCTTAACCTCTCTGAGCCTCAGTTTCTTCTGTGGTAAAGGGAATAAATAATATGCCCTACTTTGTAGGCCTGGGTGAGGTGACGGGAACATTTGTGGAGGGCCCCTGCTAACGTGGATATGGTTGGGGTAATCTCACTGTGGCATGTACAATTTATCTTGTTTTCTGTCTTGAAAGCAAATTTATTTTTATGCTGTCTTAGAACAAGTAGAACCTTGACTTATCTATGGGTTATGAATCCACATACTTTCACCAGAGGTAGCCTGTTTATTATTAAACACACACACACAAAATAAAACCCCGACTCTGCCTGGCACAGTCCTCATGCTGCTGCCAGTGCTCTCCTGGGGCTGGAGGTGTCACTGGTGGGTGGCGATGAGGATGGCGGAGATAATTATTTTATATGTTTTTACCTTACATATATCCTTTGCTTGAGTTATCTTCCTGTTATTTAATATCACAATAATTTATGTTAGAACTATCTTCTGGTTCCTGAGTTACAACATGGGTATGTAGGATATTTTTCAAGGATTCCTTCTTTAAAAGCAGTGTTATAACATTTGAACTGTAGCCCTGTCCAGTTTGGCTGAGCGGTTAGAGCATTGGCCCATGGATTGAACAGTTGCGGGTTTGATGCTGATTTAGGGCACGTACCTGGGTTGCAGGTTTGATCCCCAGCCCTGGTCGGGGTTGTGGGGGAGGTTGCCAAACAATGTTTCCCTCTCTCTTTCCCTTCCTCCCTCCCTTCTGCTCTATCTAAAAACATCAGTGGAAAAATTGCCTTGAATGAGAATTAACAACAACAGAAAAAGAAGTTTCGAGCTGTGCATCAGAGGAGCGCTGTCTTTTACATCCACTGCCTTAATTTCCATTTTGATGTTTCTCCTAGTTTCTCCTTGGACCAAGATGACTGATGGAAACCTTTCCAGCTCGACAAATGGCGTAGCCTTCATGGGCGTTCTGGACGGTCGACCAGGAAACCACATTCAGAACCTGCAACACTTGAATCTCAAGGCACCCAGATCCCTCTCATTGCCTGAGTATGGGCCCAAGCTGAAACTCGGGGCTTCAGATCAGCACAGCCTGCAGTCGGTGGACTCAGGCATTCCTACCCTAGAGATCGGCAACCCAGAGCCTGTCCCCTGCAGCGTGGTCCATGTGAAGAGGAAACAGTCTGAATCGGAGATAGTCCCTGAGCGGGCCTGCCAGAGCGCATGCCCGCTGCCGTCCTACGCACCACCGGCTCCTACCAGTGCTGAGCGGGAGCAGAGTGTGCGGAAGTCCTCCACGTTCCCCAGGACGGGCTATGACTCGGTGCAGCTCCACAGCCCCACCGCCAAAGCCCTGAACCGCAGTGACGATGTCTCTGTCTGCAGCGTGTCCAGTCTCGGCACAGAGTTGTCAGCCACACTGTCCATCAGTAATGAGGACATTTTGGACCTCGTGGTCACGAGCAGCTCCAGTGCCATTGTGACCCTGGAGAATGACGATGACCCACAGTTTACTGATGTCACCTTGAGCTCCATCAAGGAAACCCATGACCTACAGCAGCAGGATTGTGTTGATGAAACTGCAGAGGGAAGTAAATTGAAAAAACTGGGACCGTTTAGTAACTTCTTTACAAGGTAATGCCATCTTTGTTTCTCTAGAGGTTCTAGGTTATTGAATTCAGATCATTTGAATTGTTCTTGTCTAAAACGTGTTGCGTGTTTTCGCCCTGTGTCATACAGGTAATCATGCCTTTCCCCAGTAGCCCAAGATCCTGTGGGGTATTGAATAGGGCTGTTCTGTTGGTGATTCTACTCTTTGATTCCACAACACTAGTTGTCGCTTCTGTGTCCCTTGATCTCGCACAGTCTGTTGTCACCTTCCGGCTTCTGTAGTCCATGTTACTAAATCAGCAGCCTTACTTTATTAACCTTATTCGCTGAGGGGCTCTTCATGCTAATACCTTGAGTCTTTTGGGCCAACCAGAGGGTGCTGATGAGGTCGATGTCAGAGTTAGTGACCCACATTTCTAATTTCAGACCCCATTTGCCCAGGGCTGACATTTCTGGGTGCCCCGGCCGTGTCCCCTGTGTTTTTGCGTGACTGTGCTCCTGTGTTCATGTTCGGGCCCAGGCCCCACTACCGAGGTGTGTGCTGTCACTGCCCTGCAGCCACACGCCTTCTCACCTGTGTTGGGACCAGGCCATGCACCCCACTGGCTGCTGGGGCTGCTGTGTCTCACCGCAAGCCCTGTGGGGACATCTGTGGCATCAGCCTTTTATCTGTGCTTTCATGTTTCCTTCCAACACGCGTTTGTGCCCTTGGCTCTGCTCTGGGCAGGTAATATGGGAGTAATACGGTGGTAGAAATGGTCAGAGGTGATAGCTGTGGGTGGGCTTACAGACTGGGGCTTGTGTGGAAGTAGGCACAACAGTCAGTCCCACAAGCAGGTGGGAACCCCCAAACTGGGGAGTGCTATGAGGAGGCACGGGCTGTGGAGAGGGTGTGCAGAGAATGCCAGGCGGCTGCCCCCCAGCTGCTCTTCAGGCCCGGGGCTTGGCAGATGGGAGCATTCCTGCGGTTGACTCTGGCTGCCCCATGTGTGTGTCTCTAGCAAAACCCATGCTGGACACTGCAGTGCCAAGTGTCCCTTCAAGATGGTGTGACATGCTGGGCAGAGTCAGCCAGTGGTGGCTGTGACTGTGGGCACACATGCTAACCCACCACTGCCTCAGTTGCTTCATCAGCTGAATGTGGGGATCATCGCAGATGAGTCCAAGACCTGTCCTGAGGGAGCTCTGACGAGGGCTGTTTGTGGGCACCTTTTTCTGATGTGCCGACAGACAGGTATGGAGCTACCAGAATGATCTCAGAATGCAGTCACTCAACGCTTGCCCTTATTGGGAGGAGACTGTGTATCGCCCTCCCTGCTGAAGCCATAGCCCTAAAATTGTGTTGTCAGTTCAGATTTGTGTGGCTGAACTGACTCCTTTGCTCAGGTCAGTGTTTTCAGTTTATGAACACCACCTGGGTGCCTGTCAGTGTGTCTCCTCAGGATTCAGCCCAGAACTTCACAATCAGAATTTCAGGGAAGGGCCTGGGGGACAGGTTTTCACAATCCCGTGGGGTTCTTGGCAGATTTGGCTCAAAATGAGGGTGACTGGGAAGCAGCATAGAGGAAAGAGCTTAGTTTTGGAATTCAAGAGACCTGTACCCATGTCCTAGCTGTGTGACCTTGAGCAAGTTACTTCACCTCTCTGAATTAGTTTTCTCATCTCTAAAATAGCATTAGTAAGTGCCTAGCACGTGGTGCTGTTGTGTTCACCTATGATGTGCTCTTACCTTCTTTGTCCTCATCTCCTTGTGTTTTCTGTCTTGGCTTCCTGATCTGCAAAATGGGGGTGATGAGAACTACTTCGTGTAGTCATGGGGAAGAAGTGATTCACGTGTGAAATTGCGTTCGGACCCAGACAGGGCAGGCCTTGAAGATTCAGGTGCTTGTTGTGACTCCTGATTGCTGCTTGCTTCCTCTGCTGTCTTGTCTCTATTTCGGAGCCTCTTCTGTGAAAGGAAACACTATCAGTTACTGCCGATCTTTTCTAAAGTTACTGGTTCTTCTTTTTATTTGTTAATCCTCACCCGAGGATATTTTTCCATTAGTTTTTAAATTAGAGTGGAAGGGAGGGAGGGAGAAAGAGAGAGAAACATTGATGTGAGAGACACATCGATTAGTTGCCTCCTACATGACCCTGACTGGGGCTGGGGATTGAACCTGAAACCCAGGCATACGCCCTTGACTGGGAATCAAACCCACGACCCTTTGGTCTGTGAGCAGATGTTCTAACCATGAGCCAAAGTGGCAGGGCAAGCTACGGGTTCTTGAAAATCCTTTTCAGCTTTGTGCCCCAGGAATTAGATGTCTCCTCTTTGTTTTATTCCTTGGTTCTTATCTCCTTACCCTTGTGTTGATGGCAGTGACATTATTGTGAGCCATTATTAAGTACCTTTGGGAAGCCAGTGGAATATTAGTGACCAATGACTCGAATATGATATTATGGTCCAAGTCTAGTAAGTTTCATTGTCCTAGAATCTTACAATGTCAGAGAAGAGTTTTGGTCCAGGACTCCCTGGAAGGGAAATAGCTCTGTGCCTAACTGTTTGGAACCCACTAAACATTATGCAGGCGAGTGAGCTTACAGGGAAGGTACAGAGAGAGCCTGGCACACAGGAAGTACTCAGGGGCCGCGGACTGTGTGAGTTTCTGTCAAGGTCAGGTCCTTTGGGGTTCCCAGTCCAGGCTTCGGAGTCATCCTGTTTCTTCACTTGATCCCCTGAGTCCAAGCAACGCCCTTTACCCTAGTGCCTCTCTGTTCTCCTTATTCTCACTGAGTCAAGTTCTAGGTTGTAGAAGGAAGCGTAGGCAATGTTGTGGGAGGCTAGTCTAGGACAAAGGGGCTCAGAGGGAGGAAGGGGTAGAGATGGTCATGGAACTTGTGACCTGAAGGAGCAACCCTGTTGGTGACCCTGACTACTTGATGAGGGTGGTCTGGAGGAGAGGGAACAGACAAATAGCCGGAGGCTGGCTTGGACCTGACCACTGCCACGTGGAAGCTGCAGGCCCAGCTCTTGTTTTTTTCTTCAGTTCTTTCTTCATCCAGGCTGTGATAAGCATCTCTGTGGCAGATTCCACGCTGAGCTTAGAGATAGCCCCTGCTCTTAAGGAGCTTAGTGCTGGTGGGGAAGACAGACCGGACACTGTGGGGTGGGGTGTAGGTACAGAAGTCCGGAGAGCTGGTTCAGGAGTCAGGCTGACTGGGTTCAGTGTGAGCTCTCCTCCTACTTAATAGCTGTGTGATCTTGGGCAAGTTACTTCACCTCTCTGAGCCTTAAATGGGGCATAAAACTACTGCGCAAGATTAGAGATCAGATAGGTAAAGCATCTAGCACACTTCTTGACAATACCTAAATAGTATCTACTTATGATTCTAATATGAGTAGTTATCATTTCTAAAAAACACGTTTTCTAAAGCTTTTTCTAGTTCTTATCCTGACATTGTGCTTACTTCAGTCATTTCATTATTGAAAAAGTTGCATCAGGGTTTCTCCATTTTGGCATTGTTGACATTTCAGGATGGATGAATTTTTGTGGGAGAGGCTGTCCTGTGCACTGAAGGCTGTTCAGCAGCACCCCTGGCCTCTACCCACTAGATGCCAGTAGTATCCTCAGTTTTGACAATGAAAGTGTCGTTAGACATTGCTAAATGTCCCAGGAGCATGGCAGTCTTTTGAGAACCACTGAGCTAGCAGGTTGTAGATGTTGGTATTTATTTGCTTCCTTGAAGGAAATTTACGGCTGTGATGTAATTTGAGCAGGATCTTCATCCTGTATAGAGGACTGTGTCAAGGGATCCTGTGAGCCCAGTGTAGTTTAACAGTATTTATTCAGAAGCCCGGATAGCAGTTATGAGAGGAATTCAGTAGCTCGCTGTATTCCACAGGAGGCAGGGTTGTTTCTGAGAAGCCAGGATTTAGGGCTCCTAATCTGCACTGGTCTGGAGAGTAGTAATTAGCTCTGACCACTCACATCTTCTTTTGTATAACCCTTTATTAAGCTCTCAGAGAAGATGCTCCAAGTATCCTTGCTAAAGAGAGATGCTAGGATTGCATCTGAAGGATGCAAAGGAGATTGCCAAGTGGAGACACGGGAGAGGGAACAGCTTGCAGAAGGCTGGGGGTGTGGTGCACCTGGTTGTGTTTAAAGACCTGTAATGATACGTTTCTCTGGTCTGCTTCCTGGCCCGGCTGAGAGCCCCTTGGGGGCACAGTCTGCGTCTGGTTCACCCTGGCATTGAGTTGTAATTCAAAGACAGAGATGAGGAGTGTGGTGGTTGAGAGCTGGGCTGCTCAGACCCGAATTTGAACTCCAGTTCAGCCATTTTTACCTGTGTGACCTCAAGAAACTCACTTAACCCCTGTGATCCCCAGGGATACAGGGTGACACGGGTTAATTGTACCTCTTGTAAAGAGTTGGTGTGAAGGTTAAACGAGATAATATAGGTAAAGCTTTGGGCAGAGCACAGACCCAGGTTGGGTTCCTGGCCCTGCTTTTCTGCCTTTGTTGGTTGACGTTTTACCAAAGAGTTCACATTTTTTTTAATCTTTACCTGAGAACATTTTTCCATTTTTTGTTCAGATAGAGTGGGAGGAGAGAGAGAGAAACATCAATGTGAAAGGGACACATCGAGTGGCTGCCACCCACATGACCCAACCAGGGCCAGGGACAAACTGCAACCGAGGTACATGCCCTTAGTGGGAACCGAACCTGGGTCTCTCTGGACCGCAGGCCAACGCTCTAACTGCTGAGCCAAACTGGCCAGGGCAAGAGTTCACATTTTTTTAAAGGTCCTGCTGTATGAAAAAGTTTGAAATCACTGGCTTAAGAAAGATAAATCTTTAAATGGGCACGTGGACTTGTTATGAAAGCGCTCAACCAGAATTTAGTTTTCTGGGCTTTGGGGATGTGATTATTTGGAAGCTGACATGAGCAGTGCCAAGGAAGAAATGTGCTCTCTGCTTTCTTTTGAGGGAGGTGAGTTAGCTTGCGGCAGGGTGGATGCCCTTCAGGGACATGCGGCAA